TCAGCAACAACAGTTGAGCATTCGTGCAGCGAGCAGTGGAGGACTCAAGGTGCCCCATAAAGAAGGCAAGTCCAGCTATAAACAACATTCAATCATTGCTTAACCACCATCACTGGCGCCGTCATCCAACTACGCCACTCAGGCAGTCAGTCATCCAGAGCTGACAACCTTCAGTAAACTGCACGTACCATAAAGAATCGCCTAATACAACTAGACCTATAGGTATTCCAGTTTCTGTTATCTTGTGGTGTACGCCCTCTGCTGATAACCAGAGGGGGTGACACGGTTCAGTTACTTGTCGGGACTGAAATAGTTGGGCATATTTGCTTTCACCAGACAAGGCTGTTCACTTTCCTGTAAAATAAGTATGTATACCTGTGAAACACTTGTTGTGGGTTCCCATCTTGAGGAATGTGAGTGGTTAACCTGGAGGGACCTCAAGAAGTCTTCCAGGAAGTTTTCCTGTCACAGACTGATCAAACCACACCACTGTACTTCAAGATACTAGAGTTGGTAACAAAGCATTCATTTAATGAGTTATGGCATGTTTAAAACTGAAAACTGTTTAGCATAAAACATCTTCCAAACTGTGTGAAATTATAATTGCCATAATTACGCTAGGATATTGTTTCTTATGGCATGTAACCTCGGATAATGTATTTCTTAACAATAAGCACTCCAATTCTAACAGTCTCCGTGGTGCAGTGGTAAGACACTCGCCTGGCGTTCCGCGAGCGCTTTGTCATGGGTTCGTATCCTGGCCGGGGAGGATTTACCGGGCGCAAATCCTTAACTGTAGCCTCTGTTTAACTCAACAGTAAAATGGGTACTTGGTTGTAACAACGATTCTTCGCGGCGGGGATCGTATTCCAGGGACCTGCCTGAAATGCTACGCGTACTAGTGGCTGTACAAGAATGTAACAACTCTTGTATATATCTCAAAAAAAAAAAAAAAAAAAAAAAAAAAAAAAAAAAATTGTAAAGTTTGTGCATGAAAGCCAAGACATTCTTCAACAATATGCGAGTGTCCTGTTAGCAATGATCTTTTTTACATTGCTATGTATACCTAATTTTGCTCATTAAAAAAACCCCACTAATTTCATGATACTTTGAGCTTTGTAACTATTGTTTCATTCGCTTATGAATATTCGAAGGTATTCTTATGCTCTACGCGATGCTTACTAGTGCAGTGGGCTCAACTCGCATTCCATGTTTGCCTTTAATTTTAAATCATGTATGAATCTTGAGATGTGGATATTAGATGAACTTGTAGTTGGGTCTTCTTCTATGCTCTGTGATCTCTCGTATAAAAATATTGTAGCAGCGTGCACTGCTGTTTAAAAAAACTTTGTAATTAAATAAAAAAATAAATGCAATCTAGCCTAACATAACATAAACCTTATCAAACAATATGTACAGTTTTAAAAATTTGCAAATGTGCTATTTCAACAATCCCTCATGGAAATGGAAGTACACTACAACAATTATTGTTGCACTTCCACGCAAGAGTCGCATATCAATGGGTCATCTAATAACAATCAGAATCATCCAAAATCTTCCCTGACATTACTGTAATTCTGATGTCGCATTAATGTCTCGCACCTTGTGCGTGATATACCGGGTATATAAAACAAAATGTTATACATTTTTGTATGCCGTAAGTTATGTTTGAATTGATTTTTTTTTTATTTTTTTATTATTTTTTTTTTTTTTTTATATTATTTTCTACCACAGACGTGGCCACACATTTACAATGCTAACCAGCATATATACATTTTCTTCTATCCTCCATGGACAGGGTTAGAGAAGTGTTAAACATACAGTTCAAGGGTTTATTGAACACTCAACCACAGAAGGTGATTCAGTGCTTTTAAAATGCTAAGCTAACCTACATATGTAAATACATAGATACACAGATTTACGTATGCCCTACATAAAGTATTAGATGTGTCTTTTACATGGTGTCATTAATGTACATTTACAAAGGTGAAATGTAATTCTGATCAGCTTCCATATATGCTTTATACCCATACATATACATACACACACACACATACACATACATATATACACACAGGGTTCAGTTCTTGCACCAGTGATGTTTATTGTGTACATAAATGATCTACCAGTTGGTATACAGAATTATATGAACATGTTTGCTGATGATGCTAAGATAATAGGAAGGATAAGAAATTTAGATGATTGTCATGCCCTTCAAGAAGACCTGGACAAAATAAGTATATGGAGCACCACTTGGCAAATGGAATTTAATGTTAATAAATGTCATGTTATGGAATGTGGAATAGGAGAACATAGACCCCACACAACCTATATATTATGTGAGAAATCTTTAAAGAATTCTGATAAAGAAAGAGATCTAGGAGTGGTTCTGGATAGAAAACTATCACCTGAGGACCACATAAAGAATATTGTGCAAGGAGCCTATGCAATGCTTTCTAACTTCAGAATTGCATTTAAATACATGGATGGCGATATACTAAAGAAATTGTTCATGACTTTTGTTAGGCCAAAGCTAGAATATGCAGCTGTTGTGTGGTGCCCATATCTTAAGAAGCACATCAACAAACTGGAAAAGGTGCAAAGACATGCTACTAAGTGGCTCCCAGAACTGAAGGGCAAGAGCTACGAGGAGAGGTTAGAAGCATTAAATATGCCAAAACTAGAAGACAGAAGAAAAAGAGGTGATATGATCACTACGTACAAAATAGTAACAGGAATTGATAAAATCGACAGGGAAGACTTCCTCCGACCTGGAACTTCAAGAACAAGAGGTCATAGATTTAAACTAGCTAAACACAGATGCCGAAGAAATATAAGAAAATTCACCTTCGCAAATAGAGTGGTAGACGGTTGGAACAAGTTAAGTGAGAAGGTGGTGGAGGCCAAGACCGTCAGTAGTTTCAAAGCGTTGTATGACAAAGAGTGCTGGGAAGACGGGACACCACGAGCGTAGCTCTCATCCTGTAACTACACTTAGGTAATAAACACTTAGGTAATTACTAGCCTTTGTTTGAATAGATTAGTGGATTGAGTTGTTTAGGTTTGTTTAACCACTGCACTGCGCCAAACAACAAATGTCGTTTTGAGAGTTTTGCATTTTTTTTATTTAGGCTATATTTTAATGTTTTTTAAATTAATGTTTTCATCACTCTGTGCTTTGAAATGAAAATAGCTGAGTTTAGAAACATTTTGACATTAACTTTACCTGATCATTTATAAAAACAACAAAAATATGTCCTTAACAATTGCACTATGAAGTTTTTGCCAAAAACAAGTGCGCAGTTCAGGGGTTAAAGAGTAGCAGTGATGTAGCTAGGTTAGATCTTTGGCAACTTTTGGACCCAACTCATAACAACAGCATACTGTATTCCTAGATCTTCACTGTATGGTTCACCATAATTATGGTTTCCCATATTTGGGGGATAAAAAGCCAGCTAGGCTTATCAAGATCCTCCTTCTCTTCCCTACCTAAGCCAAATACTTCTTATTTACAGTATTTACCTGAGGGCCACTGACACTAGTGGTCTCAATGAGAACAAGAAGCCGGTGGCTTGTTGCAGGTCCCCCATTTGCCTTGATGATCTTTTCCAGCTGTACTGTACTTTAAACGTTAACAGTTTTTTGGCATTTAAGGCTTCGGCGGGTAGGCGGTTCCTTGGGTTAGTAATACTATGGGTGAAAAAGCATCTCCTGTTCTCAGCCCCACATTGTAGCTTGTCAAGCTTATTAATTAATTAATTTATTTATTTATTTATTTATTTTATTTATATTAAAGAAGGTACATTGGGTTTATTAGAGTACAGAGAGTTGAAATTATATATTCTTGTAAAGCCACTAGCACGCATAGCGTTTCGGGCATAACTTGAAACCATTGCTCCGTGTTTGTGTTGCATCTGACCTTTAGAAGAAATTGTCCACATAAACATCCTCCAAAATTTTCAGTATTTTAAACGTTTCAATAAGATCTGCCCTATTATGCTTGGTTTGCAGTGTTACTAGCCCTTTGGCTCTCAACTGTTCCTGATACGAGAGATGATTTGGCTCTTGAATGATTTTTGTTGCCCGGTGTAGCACTCCAGAGCAGCTATGTCCTTCTGAAGACAAGGTCTCCCTGCTTGGATTTAATAAATAAAATGGGGGCACACCAGAAATTTATACAGTTGAATCACTACCTTCTTTACCTTATAGTCAAAGGTACGCTTGATTATTCCAAGGGTTTGGTTAACTTTTCTGACTGCTGCCTGTTGTGTAACTTCCAGTGAGTGGTGGATTTTGACTCTAAGGTCCTTTTCTTCATGAACTTTCTGTAATGGAATGTTATTAATTTAGTAGTGGTGGCATGGGTTGTTATGCCTCACATGCAAGGTCTTGCATTTGTCAATATTAAAAAGCACAATTACATAAAAAAGCACATTACTTACTAGACCTTCCTCAGGATGCGACCCACAACAGTTGCCTAACTCCTAGGTCCCTAATTACTGCAAAGTGAATAAAGACATTGGCTGGAAGTCAACGTGCCCAACTTTCTCTGTCCCGGTTGAAGATCGAACCCAGGATCCTCGGTTGTGAGTTGTGGATGTAGACCACTGCATTACAAGACTCATCATTACATAATTATTATTTTTATTATTTTTATTATTTTTTTATTTTTATTTATTTTCATTCATTCGTTCACTCGCTCGCTTATTTTTTCTTGGCTACTAAGAGTCTTTGTTTTGATTAGAGCATTACTTGTTATCTTTTAGTTTGTGTGTAGAGCATTTCTTGCTATCTTCTAGCTTGTCAGTAGAACAAAACTTGCTATCTTCTAGCTTGTCTGTAGAACATGACTTGCTAGCTTGCCTGTAGAACATGGCTTGCTAGCTTGCCTGTAGAACATGGCTTGCTAGCTTGCCTGTAGAACATGGCTTGCTAGCTTGCCTGTAGAACATGGCTTGCTAGCTTGCCTGTAGAACATGGCTTGCTAGCTTGCCTGTAGAACATGGCTTGCTAGCTTGCCTGTAGAACATGGCTTGCTAGCTTGCCTGTAGAACATGGCTTGCTAGCTTGCCTGTAGAACATGGCTTGCAGATTCTGCTCCATTGAGGACTACTCTAAGAGTTCATTCCTGAAACTAGTCTTTTATTAACTCTTAAGATGAAGCCTGAGTTGCCTAGGGCTTGAAGCCTGAGTTGCCTAGGGCTTGAAGCCTGAGTTGCCTAGGGCTTGAAGCTTCACAACTAATCCTGAGTGCCAGACCCGATCAAAGACACCTTCTGTGTCTAGAGCATTAACACCGCTGATCTTGGACTCATCCAGTGACTGTTGTCACTTAGTGGAGAGATTTAGCAAGAGATCAGCATCAAAGTGGCCTTTTCTAAAACCATACTGTTTATCACATAGTAGTTCTTCATGGTCAAATATGATTCAAGAATTTTACCAATAATGGGGAGCAGTGACACTGGTCTGTAGTTACCAACAACTGAGCTTATTTTGTGTACTGGAACAACATCTGCCTTCTTCCATTAGGGGTACCAACCTCCTTGAGCTAGGCAGAGTAGGTAGAGGCATGTAAAGGGGCTTTAATTGACACGAGTAAAGCCCCACAGCTTTACTTGTGTCTAGCATTTTAAGAAGATGGAACACTTCAGCCTGCTGTATAACCACTTCAGTCATCCCTGCCATGCTGCTTTTTTAGAGGACAGGTATTTATAATGAAACAGAAGGTATGGTGTAGTATCTCTTATCTGGTATCATTGTCCCTTTCACCAGTTCTTTCAATGAGAATGGTAACAGTGAGATTGGAGATAATGCAATGTTTCCATGTCAGCTGTGATTCATTTAGTACGACCACCTGCCATCTGTGTTGTGACCACTGGAATGTTGTGTCCCAAGATACATTACAGCACAGTACTTACCACCAGTGAGTTGGGAGGCAAATCCTGGTTAAGTATGCTTCTCTAGTTTGATAGTTAGGCCCCCTCTGCCATCCAGTTGGAGAAATGTCACTGCCCATTGCAGACTATCTTCAATTAAGGCCACATCATCAACATACATCGATGATCTGGACTCCAGGGAAGACTAGGAACATTTGAGAGGAGAATATTTAATAATAACAATGGGGACCACAGCCTGCTCTGCTCCCCATGAGTAAGGTGGAGACTTTATTGCCATTCTACCATCCAGAAAGACCACCTTTTATAGGTAGTCCCTGAACCATCATACTGCAGTGAACAGTGAAGCTGAAGCGAGCCAGTCCCTGGAGAACTGCCCTGTGGGATGATATTTCAAAATGCCACTAGCAGAATCCTCCTTCGATGGTAAGTATTCATAATCCATTGTCTTAAGATAAGGAGACAGTCTATCATGATCCTCCCTGTACAAAGTCAGAAAATGCTTGGGTATGAGGCCCAAGTATTCTACCTATCCTCAGTTTCACCATGTCTATCTTAAACATATACAGTATGTTGAACACAGCAGCATGATCCAAAATCATTGCTTGATGGTGCCAGGTGCCATGAGATGTTAATGACCTACCAATTGTCATGTCACATGGCAGGCCTTCACCAGGTCACATGGGTGACCTTCCTCCTCCTCTGCAACCTCTGGCTCACTCACACTCTGCTCATCTTTCTCAGTTCATTACCTTCCTCTATTTCTCATCCAACCAGCATGGATGCATTCTAATCTTCATTTATATTAGGGTTTTCAGTTTCATTATTCAGTAAATTGGGTATTTCCATATCACAAATACTGGAGACTGAAGTTTGGAACCTGGGAGTGAGACTTTGATGCACAACCTTCTTTGATCATTTCTGTATGCTTATTGAGGAGAGTTGTAATTTTTGTTTTTGTTGGCAGAAGTGCACCAGTCATCAATTCATTGCAGCCAATGGCCAAATTCCAGCTGCACCCCTATTATATTGCACAGATATTAAAAAGTCTTGACTTTAGACACATCTTAATCCTCTTGACCCTTGTATGTCAGTTGATATGAGTTTGAGTCTTTGGGTTATAGAAAGCTCATGTTTGGTGAGGGGGGAAGGGTTACCTGAAGTTCAAATTTGGTAATAAGTTAAAGCCAAACATGCCAGAACAGGTAGAATTTAAAGTTCTAGGAGCACCTCATCAGACATTTGACCAGTTTGAAGCATGGCAATAAAGAGTGAGTGATGTAAGCATCAATTGTTAGCTGTGCTTCATAGATTTGAAACACTTTGTGGCTGTCTCATTTCTTCAGTGGTTACTGCTTGCTTTTTGTGAGCTAATTGGTATTGTTGATCAACATCTCTGCTTGTTTTATAGCTTATAAGTACCATCTAAGAAATGGTGATCTTTCGTACCACATTTGAGATCCTTCAGATTTATCATTAGTTAACCAAAATGTAATTTAACTCCTGACATTTTAACAAGCGCATAATATTAATGCAGATATACTGTGTGTATTTTTAAAATCTGTGGTACCAAATAATTTAGTAATGTATGTGTTTAATTTGTATTTATGCAGGTATACAATACAGTACTGTATGTAGGGTCATCTAGTTACTACAATGGGTAAAGCTTGCAGCAAAGTTTGGAACTGCTGCAAGCAAGAATGTCCACATGCTGGTGTGCAGCCAAGTAATGAAGATTATGGGGACAATGTAGTGGATTCCAGCTCATCCAGTGCTGCGTTGCTAGATGCCTCACATGGTCCCCAAGACGTTTCTGATGGCCTCAGTAATGTTAGAAGAGTGGCTCCTTGTGATACTTCAACTATCTCCCAGTCAAGAGAACAGCTAGACAATGAAGACTACCTGAGGTTTCCTATTTTACTTGACAAGAAAACCATTGAATATGCAGAAAAGAGTAAGGTCAGTATAATACACTGGTTGTTTTGGATGAAGAGTTCTGAATGTTCTGAAGAGTACAGTATGTTCAAAATATATATCCTGTATAAACTCAAGCATTCATTTATCCTCTAGGTAAAATATTAAAAAATGTTATGTGCTATGTAGTTTTTCCTAACCTCTGTTTTTTATTTTCTTCATACATTATTGTGACAAAAGTTAAATGATCAAATTACGTACCTGTATAGCTCTTGACATAATACCAGCTCCTCTGTTCCCCTTAAATAAATGTCTAACAATATGGGAGGCAAATTTAAATATTTTTAATATAAGAACATGCAAGTCCAAATGGATAAAGAATAAGAGAAGTTATTTTTAATGTATAAAACAGAGTGAGAAGTAAAAACTATACAGTTTATTTCTGGAAAGGCCACACTTGGTATCTCTCAAAGTGACATGCTGGTAAACTGTCAAACCATCAGTACTCCACCAGGCTATTCATGAACACCTATTGGAGCCCAGGGAGTGTTGTACTGTACTGGAATCTGGTCCACTCAATAGAGGAAAAGGGTAGTCGGAGGATCTAGGATTACCACAACAATAAAATGAAAAAACACACATAAGGTAGAGTAAACTAACATAGACAGTAGCATGGATTACATTTGCAATGCTAACCCTATGTAAACAATTGCTATCTGGGCCAAACTACTGGTTCATACTGCTCACTCAGCACCAGATAGCAGCCCCAGCTATCCAAGGATTTGGGACTCCATCCACACCATTCACACATCTGGTGCTTTGGTGTCTGGTCCTGCGCTGCTGTGACCGAGTTCAAATCTTTTCTCGGATAAGTGTTCGCCTTTTCTTGGACATTGTTTGACACAGAGGCCAGTGTTGCCTTGTTATATTTTTTTGCATTACATGTATGTTTAGTTCTTCACTTTGCATGTGTCCTATTTAGTGTTTGCTTTAGTTGCTTGAGACAGTTTTCTTCCCTGGGTGCCATTATGCATTGCCTCTGCATTCATCCAAGATTCTCTTCCCTGAGGTAGTTCAGGTGCTCCTCTCTCTCTCTCTCTTGAGGCTCGTGTTCTTGAAGGGGGTCTCACCTCAGTTTACTGCATATGGTTAGCTCTTCTGTGAGGCTTGGTGGTAGGGGTGGCTGTTTTCAGTTAACTCTGGCTGATCTTCACCTGATGTCTTTGGTTGTTCCTGGCCTTTAGGGATCTTCTGCTCCACATATATTTTTTTATCCAACATTGCAGTTAGAGCTTGATTCTTCTGTGGCTCACCCTCATTTGTGTTTTTGCACATCATTTGATGTGTTAAATTTGCTTGCTCTTCATAGAATTCTGAGGTATCATTTTGTGCCAACTGCATTGCAGCTTGACTTGCCTCGGTTCCTGCTCTTTCCTGCTTTAGAAAAGTGACTGGAAATCCCAGTCTGCACTTCTCCAAAGTGCAGACTGGGGCTGCACTTCAGAGAGAGATACAAATTTCTTCTCTTGAATGCTTGGCATGCAGTCTGCCATTCTCAGTCAATGGACTGGTGTGAGGCATGGTAAATTTTTTTTTTTTTTTTGTTGTGGTGGAGGGGGGGGGGGGGGGTGATGAGACTTTTTGGGCTTGGAACACTACCTTGTTTGCTTCGGCCCTGTCACATCATGTTGGTATGGGGCAGCTGCACATCACAGCTTATTGTCTTACAAGTTGCTATGGACTGAAAGGCATGCCTCCTGGCTTCCACCCTCTGTGCCTGCCAACTATTTGTCAGGTTAGGTTGATTTTTCTCAGGCCAGAGGCCTGGCTGGTGTCCTTGGAGCTCAAGGATGTGTATTGGCACGTTTCTCTTCACTCGAGGTTAGGAAGGTTTCATCTCTGGGCTTAGGCGAGCCAGGTTGACATGAGTAGTGTGATTCCTTTTCTTCGAAATCAGGGATTCACATCTCTGCCTAGGTCAGTGACTGCCTGGTTTCCACTCCCAGTCGTCCTGCTTGTCTGCTGGCCATGTATCAGGCTCTTTCCCAGCTGACAAACTATGGGTTTCTTGTCAACTAGTGGAAGTCCCATTTTGTTCCATCACAGGTTCAGTCATGGCTGGACTTGGTCTAGGATGCTCAGACAGCATAATTTTCTCGAGTCTGCCCCATTTTGGTTATATGTACCCAGACTTGGGGGCATTGGTCGCTTCGACTCTGGTTCAGTCCGCGCTTCCAGGTCCTTCCTTGGTCGGTGTTGTTCGCCTTGACCCCCCCCCCCATCCTACTCTCGGCTCCAAAATGTCTGAGGGTTTCAGAGTTGGGGAGGGGTGTAGTTGGTGATGAGACTCGGGCAGCTTCGGGGGGCTGCCCCTTTTGAGTTTTGGTCGGAGGCATTCAAGCCTGCTCTTCCTGCTTGAGGCTTCTGGGTCCTACCGGCAAATCCCCCCCCCCCCCTTTTTTTTCTTTCTTCTTCTTCTACCTTTCCCCTGGACTCTGGCTTTTCTTCAGGGGTAGAGGGCATGGAGGACAGCTCTGCCCCGGGTCCTGGTCTGGAGGATCCTGGGGCTGGGGAGGAGTTGATCTGGGGAGGCTTGGGCCCCCCTTTGGGCATTGTCTGGGTCTTGCATCGGTTGCTGGGTTGCCGGCATCTTCTTCAGGTTTTTTGGGGTTCAGTGCTTTGGTGCCTACCCGAGCCCTCGCTCGGTGTGCTCACAGATGCCTTGTCTCTCATCTGGGGCTTTGTGACCAGTGCTCATCAGGCTGGCCAGAGGCGGTGGGCTCTGTCGGGCTCATAGCATGGTGTGGGAGTTCGCGGCGGTTTGGCTGTCACTTCGGAGGGTTCGCGTCGGTTGGGGATCCACGATCCAGCTCTATTCAAATTGCTCTCCAGTGATTCATTGTTTGAACCGTGGGGGTTCTTTTTGGTCCTTGGCTCTTTGGGGCTGGTTACTTCGAGTGACTTGTCTGCTGGATTCTCGTTTTTTTTTTTTCTTTTTTTCCCCGTGCGGTTCATATCCGGGAAGTGTCCTATAACCTGGTGGGCGGCGGTTCATTCCCCTGTCCACGGAATGGTTGGTCGATGCCAACTCCTTCAGTTGGCTTTGCCAGACGTACGGGCTCCCGGAGATGGCTGCGTGTCGGCATGGTCTCCCCATCTCCTGATATGTGGCACCCTTTCTCGACTATGGAGCCTTTGTGGTTGATGCCTTTCGGTTGTGCTTGCCCTTTTTGGTGGGTTGTTTCTTGGTTTTGGGTCAATCTGTGATACCCCAGCTCCCCTCTCATCTTGTAGAGAGAACCATAATCTGGTACTGGTTCCCAATAGATCGTGGTGGGTCTCAGAGGCCTGGTGTAATTTTGTCAAGCTTAGTAATACATGTACCAGTGCTTAACCCCTGAAGTGAGCAGCTATTTAAAAGTACTACACCAAAGTGTGCCTGACTAAAAAGTTTCAAATCAAATGGAGGAAATATCGTATATGGCTATTGGAGCACAAGAGAAAATCACAAGTAGCAACTGGAGCGGTGCAAGACATAAGACCCATACAGGCCAGGTGAATGGAATGTTTGTTTCCACAGAAGTGTGGATGACAATTTATAAGGCATAATCTTGTGGATCTACCAAGAGGCTCACCTGAAAATGGTGCCTCACTACTTTCAATGCTTGATATTTAATTTCATGTTTCTGCATGTATTTATTTAGAGTAAAAGATGTAAATTTTATTTCTTTATAGGTAATGATTATCTTGAAGGGATTGCCAGGATCGGGCAAGTCGCATATTGCCAGAAGAATTCAAAAAGTTTTCTCAGACTGTGTGGTGTGCTCGGCAGACTCGTACTTTACGAATGATGGAGTGTTAGTACCAAATACAATACTGTACTGTACTTGATTTTTTAATGCCTCTACTCACTTTTGAAACTAAGGTCTTTCAATAAGTGTTTTTGTAATATATGTTTTAAGGACATTATAAAATATAAGAATGTTCTTACATGTTAACTTTGGATATGTACAGTGAGAGTTTTTGCTGTACACTGTACATGTACTTTATATATAGACGTTGTTGTGGACGTCTGAAATTCAAATTCAACAAAAATCAAGAACACTTGCCAGAAGCAACAAGGAGTAGATTTTACCTACTTTATATTTTATTACAGCTATTATATTGTACAGTATTTGTTTTTTGTCAAAAAGTGGTTCCCTCTGCTCTGTTCTTGCCTCCATGTGCTTGTAAGTAGAGTACTAAATAATAGCTCTTGAGCCCATCTCTTTCTGTTTGTGTATTTTACAATGATATTCATAATTTTAAAACTTTATATTGAATCAATCTCGTCCACATCATCCTTCAATTTGTTCCACATGTTTATCACGCGTACACTGAATACGTACCATATAATATTTTGTTACATCCCTGCATTTTATTTTGTTTCTACCTATGTCTACTAATCCTATTTCTCCTCATCTGGAACAGTCTATCCTTGTTCACCTTATTCATATATATCAGTATCTTGAGTATTTGTTTTAAATGTGTCCTTGTGGCAAGTCTCTGGATCTTCTAAGTGTGCTTTTTGGGCTTCTCGTGTTGCGAGTTCAATGCCAGGGCCACATAGTGTACTCAGTACTGGTCTAACATAGGGTGTGTATAGTGTTATGAAAGGTTCCTTGTTTAGGTTTTGAAAGGCTGCTCTTTGTATCTGCTAACTTTGTATATGCTTCTGATATTATTTTACCATACAGGGGGGTCCACAAAGCTGTGAATTATAGTACAGCATTTGAATATTTATATTTGTAATAATAGCTACGTACATTAATTATTTGAAATGTGTCCTGCCAATTGCCTGACATGATGTGCAAATTTCTGGACATCAGATATTTGTGTGTGCTTCTGGTGTGAGACTATGTAACATCCATGTCTTTGTTTTGTTCCCTTTTTAAGGTTTCATGTGTCCTCCCATTCAGTTTGTATAATTATTCAGACTTATTGTTTGTTTGTCCTTTCTCATAACTTGGCATCTACTGGGGTTGAACTTTAGTAGTCACTTGCCTGTGTATTTTTACACCTATTTAGGGCCTCCTGCAGCAATTTGCAGTCCATTTGTTTGTATTCCCACATCAGCTTAGTATCACAGGCAAATGACACCCCATGAAAGGAGCTGATAGGTGATTAGGGCATGGAAACTTCATGGGAAAATTTCAGAAAGGTCATTACTGTACTCGTCTAAAGATACGTGCCAAAAAGGAGAAAGAAAAGAAATGGAAAAAGATGGATGACACAAGTAGTAAAAAGAGCGTTAATAACTAAATGGAATCTCTGGAGACGGTATAAATCCACGATGAACATTGTGGATTATGAGATACATAAAAGGGCATTAAATGCAGCTACTCAGGAAATCAGATTAACCAAAAGAAACTATGAAAGAAAACTTGCCCAAAACAAAGGTAGATCAAAATCAATCTATGCATATATATTAAGTAAAACCAAAACAAAGGACTCTGTAGGACCCGTAAAAGATGAGCCTAACCAAGTTATATTGGATGATAAAAGGGCAGCAAACACTCTTAATGAATACTTTACATCAGTGTTCACACTTGAAAAATTGAACGACATCCCATGACAAACACAAATGTTTGAAGGAGGTGAAGAGAATGAATTAAGGGACATACTCATTACACGTGACACAATCAGGAAGAGCATTGACAAACTAAGACTCAAAGTCCCAGGTGTGGATGGATTTAAATCCAAAGTCATAAAGGAACTGGCAAATGCACTATGCTTGCCACTGAAACTTTTATTCAAAAAATCTCTGGACCAAGGGATAATTCCCCTGGATTGGAAATACAGTATGTAAATATTCCCCCAGTTTTCAGAAAAGGCAGAAAGAGCTCGGTAAAAAACTACCATCCAATCAGTTTGACATGACACACATGCAAGCTCATGGAGAGAATCCTTAGGATAGGAATCATACATAATCTCACAGAGAACAGTCTTCTAAAATCAATGCAACATGGGTTTGTTAAAAACAGATCCTGCCTTACTAACCTGCTCACATTTCTGGAAATGGTAACCGGCTATTCAAACAAAGGACTTCCGTTAGATGTAACTTACATGGACTTTGCTAAAGCTTTTGATAAGATACCACATGAGACTGGCAAGGAAATTACAGGCACATGGAATAAATGGGAGAATACTAGAATGGCTAAAGCAATGGTTAAAACATTGAAAATAAAGGGTCGTGTTAACTGAGAGTGAATCTGATTGGGGGAATGTGCTACATGGGGTGCCACAGAGGTCCATTTTGGGGTCAACCCTCTTTGTCATATACTGTACATCAATGACATAGATGAGAATATTACAAACCACATCATCAAATTTGCAGATGACACTAAAATCTATGGAAAAATGGGACATGAAGGTGATATTGAGACCCTACAAAGTTATCTACATGGACTCCACAAATGGTCAGATGACTGGCAAATGCATTTTAATGTTGATAAATGAAAGACCTTACATGTGGGGCACAACAATCCACACCACAACTACTATATTGACAGCACTACCTTATAACAGATAGATGAAGAAAAGGGCCTTGGAGTCAGAATCCATCATTCATAAAAAGTTGTACAAGTGTCGCTTCGGCAGTAAAAGAAGTGAACCAAACCCTGGGAATAATAAAGCGTGCCTTTACTTTCAAGGAAAAGAAAGTAGTCATTCAATTGTACAAGTCTGGTGCACCCCCGACCTGTATTATTGCATCCAGGCATGGAGACTTCATCTTTAGAAAGACATAGCTGCTCTGGAGAAGGTGCAACACCGAGCAACAAAAATCATACCAGAGCTTGGTCATCTCGCGTATCGGGAATGGTTGAGGGCCACTGGGCTAACAACACTGCCAACCAGGCACGACAGGGCGGATCTCATCGAAACCTTTAAAATACAGTACTGAACAATTTGGAGGATGTTGAACCGGTCACTTTCTTCAAAATGTAACACAGATAATGTAACACAAATGAGGAGCAATGGGCTCAAGCTCAACAAACCACACTGTAGGACGGAAAACAGGAGATCCTTTTTTACCCATAGGGTTGTAAACCCGCGGAACCGCCTACCTGCTGAAGTTGTAAATGCAAAAAACTGCTGGGTTTTAACATTCAGCTGGAAAAGATCATTAGGGCAAATGGAGGGATCTTTGACAAGCTGCCGACCTCCGTCTTCATCAAGGCCACTAGTATTAGTGGCCCTCAGATGAATTCAGGTAAAAAATAATAGTGCAAGTAAGACTGTATGTAAATCAATAAGAGAAGTGGGCATGGTCTGTTTCTTGTGGGATTCTTCTTATCATTTCTCTCTATTTTCACCTTGTCACTTTCCAGTTACTCTTTTACATCCCATTAGGTAGAACAGTATCAGAATCTTTGTAATCTTGTCTTTGTAACGTGTTCATTATACCAGGTTATTTCTCCAACTTGATCAGTATATAGGCTTTCTGAGAGGAACTCACAGAAAAAGGTCCTCTGTACTTGATCCAGGCTGTGACAAATGGAATATAAGGCCTCTTTAGAGCCTGGTAACCCTCTTGGACCACGACTAAGAAGGGTTTGAATTGTAACTTGCTCTGCTGCATTGCCTGTCCTGTGCCCAGGTCAGGTCAGGTCAGGTTGGACTTGCTTTTGTTCCTGCTGCAGATTTGCAACCATGTGTCTGAATTTGATCCTGGTTCTTTTGAGTTTGGATAAAACTACCAAGATGTCACACTAATTTTTTTTGTTTTTAATTACACTTGATCTATTCATTTTTGTTTTTTCTGTCCTCTAAATTTCCATTTAGCTATTTTATGTCTTTAATAACTTTTTGCAGACAGTTCCATGTAGTATACCAGTAATGCTTTAATACAATGCTAGTGGTAATGCTTTATAATTAGCAGTGGTTTCCCCCCCTTGCTGATCCAACTGCTTTTACTGTTTTTTGTGTTAGACATAAATATTTTAGCTATACTGTACAGGTATTTTGCAGTATGGCATATTTTGTAAATTGTTTTCTCACACAAATTTGTCATCTTTTTATTGGATATCAGCATCTTGTTTATTGATATATACTTAAACTATTTATGGTTTGTTCTGAAAATGCAATGTTAAAATATACTGTATATGTATTTTAGGTACAAGTTTGACCGAGACAGACTCAAGGATGCTCACAGGTCGTGCCAGGAGAAAGCTTGTGATGCTGCACAACGTGGCTCCCACGTTATTGTTATTGATAATACAAATGTTAAAACTTGGGAAAGCAAATACTATCTGGATTTGACAAAGAAATATAATTACACTCCTCTTATCTTAGAGGCCCAAACGCCTTGGGCCATGGATCCGAAAGAACTGGCTCAAAAAAATAGCCATGGAGTTCCTGAGGAGGTATTAGTACAGAAGGTAAGTCCAGTTTCTTACTTCGTTATTTATCTCAAATTTGAAAGAATATATAAATTGTGACAAAGTGTTTTTAAATTTATTATAAAGTATAGTAGTTTATCTGAGGACAGTCACTTATTTACTTATCCTTCTCCCCTCTCCCTAGTAATGGTTCCTCTCTGGTAGTCCTTAGACCATTCCTATACTGGTGTAACCTCACTCCATCAGAGGTCTGATACTTTTGCTTTTCTTTGCACTCACTGCCTTTCTCTTTTCTTCTGGGTACTGCAGTTCAATCCACTTATAATTGGTGCATCTGATTGTGATTTTCCTGTGGACTCCTTCATGTGCACCATGTGTGTTTTCCTTAGTTTAAGAATCCTCCATTGTCACATGGTGCCACTCTGTCCTCAAGTGGCCAGGTGTTCTTTTACATATTTTGGGCCCCCGGATGTTGTTTTGGGGATGATAATAGACACTGTATCCAAATGTTTCTGGACTGTAAACTCAGTTATATCCTAGATTTTCCCAATTGATGTGCCTGGTTGTTTCTGACTGGTGCATCTGACTGTTTCCAGGTGGTGTCTGCTTGTTCCTAAGTGTGTGCTTGAAGGTTAAAGACTGTACCCTGCTGTTCCAGAGCTGTATGCCCTACTGTTCTGGGGCTATGTGCCCTGTTTTTATGGGGCTATGTATTCTGCTTTCATTGGGCTATGTGTCCTGATTTCACGGGGCTATGTGCCCTGCTGTATGAGGCTATGTTCTAAGTTATTCTCAGGCTGTTTCCAGATTGTGGGCCTGGCTATTCCTGGCTTGTGTGCTCAGTTTTGTCTGGGCTGTGTGCCAGTTTGTATCAGTGGTGGGCATGGCTATTTCCAGGTTGTGCACCTCGATCTTCCTGGGTTGTGTACCTGATTCTGATCAGGTACTCTGCTGGCTCTTCCTGAGCTGCTCTGCCAGGTTTTCCTGGGCTTGGCTCTGCCAGGTTTTCCTGGCTCGGCTTGGGAACTGCGCCAAAACTAGGCTGATGCGTCCCAGACTCTGTGCCTAGCTCTTCATGGGATGTGTGCCCAGCTTTTACTCGGGATATGTACGGCTCTTCCCAGGCTATGTGCCCAGCTTTTTTCCCAGCTGGGTATTTGGCTCATTCCAGGCTATATGTTTAGCTAATCCCAGACTGTGTGCCTGACTCATCATGGACTGTGTTCCTGGCTCAGCCGAGGTGTCTTGGTTGGTTTGAGGGTTGAACAAGTGTGTGTTTTATTGTGGTGCATTTATCTAGTATGGTTTAAGAGAATGGGGAATAATTATTAAGACAATAGTAATTGGTATTGACTTTAGAAATATGGTCTCTGTAAGAGAGAGTATTTACTTAGTGTTTGTGATGTTCACAGGATTACCAAGAATGTAACGGGTATTTTAATAGAAGGATTAACCATTGTGGGTTCATATTCAGTTACAAAGTTTTTGTACAAAGCTTTACCTAATGATTTTGTTTTTTATGTTATAGGTTAAAGACTATGAGCCAGTTTTACCATTATACTACTGGTGGTTCTTGAATGAAGCTGATTGCAGAAAGGTGTCCTTGATTGCAAGGGAATGGTTGGAAAAGGCCCTTCAAGTTCCGAACTTTTTCCAGGACTTCTCGGAAACCACTAAGCTCTTGACAATGAAAGGTATGTCTAAACTTTATGTACTATATTGACTGTGCCGTGTTTTAAAGGTCCTGTGAGGCAATGGTAAAGGTAGTTGGGTCATAGCCGGTAAGTCCCATGTTCATTTGTCATGGATTGCCAGAAGGAGTTGGGTAACTTTATTTTTACCTGATGCCTTTATTTACCTAGCAGTAAATAAGTACTGGGTAGTTAAGCAACTGTTGGTGATTTCATCCTGGGGAAGGTTAGCAGTTGGCCTAGGGAAACCTTGATAAGCCTAACATGCTTCCTCTCCCTGACCATGGTGAAACTAAATATACTCGGTGGCTTTTCCATTAATTAATGTTGCACCCAGTGGTTTTCCCTGATGTTGCTCATTTACGAAATCATTAAAAATATAAATGTAGCATTATTAAATAAGTTACCATTTATATCCTAATTTTTTCTTTGTTCTATGGGTAAATTTCATAGTGAAAATATAATTTAAACCTGTCATGTGATAGACATCAACCATTAGAACCTGATTGTAATCAAAATTTCACCTTTATTACCAGTATTTTCCAGATTCAACCCTTTAATAATATTTTTTTAAAAGGTACAGTAGTTCCATAACTTGCATGATGGTGTATCTTGAATCAAGTCTGCCAATTTTCAAACACTCAATCCTATTTCTTTAGCTTTTGGGGATTTATTCCAATAACAAATTTAGGAGATATGCATCATAATCATTTTCAGAATAGCATTTCTGAAAATGTTATGAAAAATTGTATACATCACCGAGCCAAATTCGAACCTTTATTGTCCAAAGCATGTCATAACTTGCCATTTCCAAGATGAAAACCAGCCATACAATTTCTTCCAAAATCAGTCAGTTGACTTTTCCATGACCCAAATTGTTACTTGGGTTGAGATTTTTTTTTTCTATTGTTACAACCTGGACTCTTCCAAACCTTGAGACTTGCCAGACTTTTAACAACTCACAAGCACCTACCAGAGACCAGGACCAGAATGTGGCCTCGAGGAAGTTTAGAAGAGCATGGGCATTGGAGGTCACCATCATCTTGGTTCGAAAAACCAAAATGAATGAGAGGAGAGGGCCTCATAATAGTCATGAGAGCGATAATATTAAGAGCATATAAAGATAAATCATGTTGTTGGTACTTGGTGACTTCAACTGTAAAACAACAAGCTGGGAGGGTTACGAAGCAAGAATGGAGGACATTTGGACAGACAAATTTGTAAACCTAATCCTGGAGACATTCGTGTATCAGCACACTAAGCAGGTCATGAGAATAAGGGCAGGGGATGTTCCATCAATCTGTTCACCTATAAAGAAAGAGATATTTAACATTCAGTATCATCCTCCCATGTGAAAGAGCTACCACGTTCTCTTGGAAATTAAATATGCAATGTGATATAATCTAGAAGACAATGGGGATATTGAAAGAGTTGATAAACTTGATTTCAAGACAGGACACTATGGGGGAACTTGGTACAATCATTAATGAATTTGATTGGAAAGACTTGTTGCTAGGCAAGGAAGTAAATTAAATATATGCCAAATTCTATGAAATATACAATGAAGGCACAAAAAAATGTATACCAAATCAGAGATGTAGAGCCAAAACAGGATTGGTTTAACAGAAATTGTGAGAGGGCTAGAGAAGAAAAAGGTACATTTTGTTGTACCCAAGAAAATGGGTACAGTACAATATAGGAAGAGACCTAACCCTCAAACATACCAGCACTACAAACAAGCAAGGAACAAATACACAGCATTAAGGTAAGAGACAGAAAGGATCTTTAAAAAAGGGGTAGCGGACAAATGTAAAACGGATGCCTTGTCCATAAATTCATTTAAAAGCAAGTTGCATATAAAGGATAAAATCAAGGGATTGAAAGTGGGGAACAGATTCACATAGAATGAAAAAGAAATGTGCAAAACACTGAACAGTTTGAGTGTGTGTTATGCAAAATGAGGTTTTCAGAGAACCAGACACAATGCCAGTTCCAGAGAACATAGGTGTGTCTCGAGATGAAGTGGAAAAATTATTCAAGGGGCTAGGAAGAAATAAAGCAGTTGGTTGGACTAAATGGAGTTTCACCTTGGGCTCTGAGAGAACGTGCATCTGAGCTGAGCATTCCACTTCAATTGATATTCGACATCTTTGTGTACAGGAATCTTAGAAAAAGGCAAACATAGGTCCATTCTACAAATATGGTAGCAGAGAAGACCCTCTAAATTATAGACATTAACAATTGGGGTAGTCAAAACATTAGAAAAAATAATTAAAACCAAATGGATAGAATACTTGGAGAGAAATGATATAACAACAGATAGACAGTATAGTTTTCAAACAGGAAGATCTTGTGTAACAAATCTACATTTTTTTATGATAGAGCCACAGAGATTCTGCAGGAAAGAGATCGTTGGGTTGATTGTGAGCCTAAATAAATGGCTTTTGCCAGTGTCCTACACAAGAGGTTGTTCTGGAAACTGGTAAATAATCAAAACTGGAAAATATGTTCTTGAAACTGGAGTGACAGGGAGGCTCCTAACATGGATGAAAAATGTTATAACTGACAGGAAAACAAATGCCGTAATCAGAGGCAATGTATCAGACTGGAAAAATATCACTAGAAGAGTACCACAGGATTCTGGCACCAATATTGTTCATTATCTACATCAACGGTCAACCAGAAGGAGTACAGAATTACGGTACTTGAACATGTTTGCCGACGATGCCAAGATACTAGGGAAGATAAAAAGCTTACATGATTGTCATGCCCTTCAGAAAGATCTGGACAAAATAAGTGTATGGAGCAACACTTGGCAAATGGAATGTAATGTGAAATAAATGCCACATTACGGAATATGGAATATGATAAAATGGGCCACAAACAACCTACAAATTATGTGAAATATCTTTAAAGACTTCTGATAAAGAAATAAATCTAGAGGCGATTCTAGATAGAAAATTTCACCTAAGGATTATATAAAAAAAACATTGTGGGAGGAGCCTATGCTACGCTTTCCAATTTCAGAATTGCTTATAAATACAGTACTGTACATAGGTGGCAAAATATTAAAGAAATTGTTAACAACCTTTGTGAGACGTAAATTGGAATATGCAGCAGTTGAATGGTGCAATTTTTTTATTTTTAGATTACAACTTTCTTATTTGCCATCATATAGGGCATCAAACCCACAAAGTCCATTTTCTAACTGGTCTCCTAAATGAGGCAATTACAATGCTTGCAGCTTTGATTGAAGTACGCACTAAAGACTATTATGACAGTGAGATATGGATACCAGAATTAAATTTTTTCAGATATGATAGAAGACTTACGCTACAGACTGTGGTCAGCCTTTACATCAAAGACATCTTCATCTGCACGGAGCTGCTTAACACCACAAATGATATAGTGGACATGCTGATGCTCAAAATAAAAATTCTAAATGTGGTGATTATCCTTGTATATAAATTATCAGATGTAAATCCTCAGCAGTTTAAAGACCAACTTACAAAAATAGAATACTGCTCAGAAAACCTCACAAACCCTGTCCCAGACAAAATCTTGCTTGGCAACTTCAACTCACAAGAGCTAAAATGGAAAAATGTAGCAAATACAGTTACACCAGAGAGAATCCCAGGAAGCAGTTTAACTGAACTGGCCACACACAGATTACCTCTTCCAAATGTGTGATAGATTTGCCTTAAACCAGCAAATAGAACCAACTTGGAAAGAAAACACTGTTGATCTTATTTTTACAAACAATGATGAACTGATTAGGGACATGATGATTATAAATACATGTTACTCAGATCACAAGCTAATTGAAGTTCAGACATGCATGGGCAATAGACCTGTGAAGCCAGTCTCAAATCCAAGAGGAGTATTCAGCAAATTTAATTTCAGTAACAGATTAACTGGGAACAAATAAACCAAGCTTTCACAGAAATACTGTATGCTGGGAAAGACAGCTAGATAATGCAAACTTACACCAGTGCCTTTAGAAAATAGATACAGTAGCACTAGACATGTGTGCAAGTCACATAATATGAAGGAGAAAGAGAAAGAGATTCAAGTTGGAACAAGGTCATTCCCTCTATAGGTGGTGAAAGCAAATTGCAGAACATCCTATATGCTCAGCTCTATCCAAAAAATGACAAAGAAAGCTATATAGAGAAATAGAAACGATTGAGCTAAGGTTGCAAGAATTATATAAAGTCCAGGAAAAACAGAGAGCAAAAGGCCCCAAGTTAAATACAGAGGAATTCAGAATACTTTTTCTCCTATGCAAAATCAATACAACAAAAACTGCATCCTGCATTGGGCCCTTGTGATGGAACCTTCACAGATGACTGCAAAGAAATGATTAAAATACTGAGGTTACAGTACAATTATTTTCAATGAACCCCTGAATAAATTGCAGATCAATGATCCAAACGAATTCTTTGTGAAAGTGACACCACCATCGAGCCATATATCAGATGTACTAGTGCTCTCGAGAGTGGAATACTGTTACAGTACACACTAACAGCCTCATTCAAAGCTGGATAAATTGCTGACCAGGGGCCAGATTCATGAAGCAGTTACGCAAGCACTTACAAACCTGTACATCTTTTCTCAATCTTTGGCAGCCTTGTTTACAATTAAACAGTTTATGATATCCGAAGCACCAGGAGGCTGTTTAAAACAATAACAACAGTTGATTAGGAAGTTTTCATGCTTGTAAACTGTTTAATAAATGTAACCAAAGCCGTCAAAGATTGAGGAAAGATGTACACGTTCGTAAGTTCTTGCATAACTGCTTCGTGACTCTTACCCCTGGAGTGTGTGCAAACTGTACTGCTAGAATCCACTCGATAAAACATCTAAACTATTGGTACTGCCTAAAATTTTTAATTCTGTAGTTCCTAGAATACAAACAGGAGAGATGTATAATAATTTACACTTGGAAAATATTTGAAAGATTGGTTCCATATCTGCATACATAAATAACATCACATGATACCAGAAGGCATAGAAGGATGTGCAAAATAGCCCCACTGAAGAGCTTAGATGCAGAGGCATGCTGAGAGAGAACTCGATCAACATCAAAGGTCCAAGAATTTTCAATACTCCTCTCCTACACATACATGGCATAACTGGCCGACCCCTCTCTACGTTCAAAAGAGAACTCGACAAGCACCTTCCAAAGATGCCTGACCAACCAGGTTGTGACTCATATGTCAGGCCAGATCAAACATCCTAGTTGAAAAGACCAACAACCAGGAGGCCTGGTCAGAGACTGGGCCATGGGGGACATTGATTCCCAAAATCTTCAACAAGTATTCAACAGGTTGTTGCTTTAGATTCATCTACTCGGAACAAAAGTTTCAAATAGCACGGGCTGTGGAATAGAAATGGCTTCTGGAACTGAAAGACAAGAGCTATGAGGAGAGGTTAGAGGCATTATATATGCTAAAGCTAGAAGATAGAAGAAAAAGGGGAAATATGATCACTACGTTTCAAATAATAAAATTCTACAGAATTGATAAAGAAGAATTCTTGAAACTTGGAACTTCGAGAATAAGAGGTCATAGATCTATGCTTACTAAACAAAGTTGCCAAAAATCATTAGAAAATTTACTTTTGCAAACAGTGGTAAATGCTTGGAAGAAGTAAAGTGAGAAGATGGAGGAGGCCAAAAACCATCAGTAGTTTCAAAGTGTTAAATGACAGAGTGCAGGGAAGATGGGCCACCACGAGCATAGCTCTCATCCTGTAACTACATTTAGGCAATTACACTTGGTTAAATTATATTGCCATTTCAGTTAATTCCACCTACTGGGTATAAATATTAACTTCTATTTCAGATATGCTGGGTTACTATTCTAGGAATGCGAAGAAAGGTACATACAATGTTCTTCATACTACTGCTAGTGTTACTAGGAGGGGTAAAACACAAAATGGCATGGATTACATCCAAAGTGCAGCAGTCAGAAAGAGTCTTGGCAAGTGCTTTGATCTCCACATCATTGGTTATGTGGTGACACCAAGGACATTTGGAGCTAGAGTGAAGTTGGGTTCAAGTGAGCTAGAATTGTGGGGTATGGATGATAATGAAATTGAAACTGAGAATGCCATGGAGAATTCCTCTGATAACATAGATATAACATGTAATTCTGCAGAAGAAATAGAAACTAGTTGTCATGATACGGTTACTGTTATCCCCTCAAACCTAAAGAGTGACAAGTTTTGCCCAACTTCAGGCAAAGGAAGTCGTGCTCATGTGACACTTGGCTGTGCTCCTAATATACATCCAAGAACCACAGGATTTGATTTGATAAACGCTGTCTCATGTGAGCAAAGAGTAAAGGAGATCAAAAAGTCTGATGGCACTGAAATATCTGATCAGAAGGTAGAAACATATGCAATTTCTGAAGGTACATTAAGAACTTATGGAGATGGAATTTGGGTTATATACCCAGAGAAGGAAGTCATTGTTAGCTCCCTATTTTCTGCATTTTATTGAATATGACAAATGTTACATTTAATCAAGGTTATAACAATTACCAAATGTCACTGGGTATGTAAATGAAGTGGGTGCTATGCACGTTAAAGTTGGTGATTGGTGACATAAAAGGATTATGGAAATACAGTTTATAAATACATTGTTGCTTGGTTTAGTGTTAATTGCCAATTAATGTAATGATTCAGGCAGTATCGTAAATACAATTGATAACCTCTACAAGGTTATCTTGGAGGAAAAATAAGTTTTTCTGGTAGAGATACCCACATCTCTGTCTATTTAAGTATTGTCTTTACTGTATTTCTTTTCCAATATGAAAAAATATGAATTAAAAAATATCTCCTATACCTACAAATATTATTCTTTTAAATATGCATATTCTGTGTTTGTGTATGTATATACACATGCAATACATTTACAATAAATCTAAATGCTTTGTTATTGTTACCTACGTTTTGTTATTTAGCAGTACAGTACTTGTGATAGACAAATTGACCAAACACCCAATGGCAGTGTTGCTGTTGTGGAATTGATTTGAACTGTCTAAAGTGCCATTTAGGTTTTTAATTGTGTATATAGCATAGTTTAACACTGCTCAACCATACAAGTGGAATGAATGATTGAAGCTATTAATATTGCATGTAAGACTCTGAGACTGGGAGGAATGAATGCTTGTGTTCATCGACCCCATGTATACTACAGTGCCACTTGCTCTCTTGTATGTTCACATCCGTCACGTTCTTTCACCGAGTGCTCTATACCTGGTCTCTTTCACTTCTCTTCCTTATTTATACCTCTGTCATTCCCTGTTGCTTTTATTCTTTCTCAATTTTATTTAGTTCCTATGCATATTATTTCTCGGCTTTAGTAAGGTGCAACATGTGACAGCTAAAGCCTCATGAAGCATTCTTCCTCAAGTGTTTAAAGAGTTTCTTCAGTAGTTCCTTGAAACTGAATGAAATGTCTGCAGAATGTTCCACATCAGGTTGATCCTTCAGTGAATGGGAGTCCCAGGAGGAAATAAAATCCCAAAGAACATAGAATATAAACTACAGTAACACGGCTGAAAGAAATATACATGAAGCCCAAACAAAAAATATTGGAGTGACAGATACGCTTCTAACATGGATGAAAAATTTTCTGACTGATAGAAAAATGAGGGCTGTGATCAGAGGCAATGTATCGGACTGAAGAAATGTCACAAGTGGAGTACCACAGGGTTCAGTTCTTGCACCAGTGATGTTTATTGTCTATATAAATGATCTACCAGTTGGTATACAGAATTATAATAACATGTTTGCTGATGATGCTAAGATAATAGGAAGGATAAGAAACTTAGATGATTGTCATGCCCTTCAAGAAGACCTGGACAAAATAAGTACATGGAGCGCGACTTGGCAAATGGAATTTAATGTTAATAAATGGCATGTTATGGAATGTGGAATAGGAGAACATAGACCCCACACAACCCTATATATTATGTGAGAAATTTTTAAAGAATTCTGATAAAGAAAGAGATCTAGGGGTGGTTCTAGATAGAAAACTATCACCTGAGGACAACATAAAGAATATTGTGTGAGGAGCCTATGCCACGCTTTCTAACTTCAGAATTGCTTTTAAATACATGGATGGCGATATACTAAAGAAATTGTTCACGACTTTTGTTAGGCCAAAGCTAGAATATGCAGCAGTTGTGTGGTGCCCATATCTTAAGAAGCACATCAACAAACTGGAAAAGGTGCAAAGACATGCTACTAAGTGGCTCCCAGAACTGAAGGGCAAGAGCTACGAGGAAAGGTTAGAGGCATTAAATATGCCAAAACTAGAAGACAGAAGAAAAAGAGGTGATATGATCACTACATACAAAATAGTAACAGGAATTGATAAAATCGATAGGGAAGATTTCTTGAGACCTGGAACTTTAAGAACAAGAGGTCATAGATATAAACTAGCTAAACACAGATGCCGAAGAAATCTAAGAAAATTCACTTTCGCAGAGTGGTAGATGGTTGGAACAAGTTAGGGGAGAAGGTGGTGGAGGCCAAGACCGTCAGTAGTTTCAAAGCATTATAAGACAAAGAGTGCTGGGGAGACGGGACACCACGAGCGTATTAATGCCTCTATTTATCACCATGAGCGTATTAATGCATATTTAATGCCTCTAACCTCTCCTCGTAACTCTTGCCCTTCAGTTCTGGGAGCCACTTAGTAGCATGTCTTTGCACCTTTTCCAGTTTGTTGATGTGCTTCTTAAGGTATGGGCACCACACAACTGCTGCATATTCTAGCTTTGGCCTAACAAAAGTCGTGAACAATTTCTTTAGTATTTCTCCATCCATGTATTAAAAGCAATTCTGAAGTTAGAAAGTGTAGCATAGGCTCCTCGCACAATGTTCTTAATGTGGTCCTCAGGTGATAGATTTTTTTTATCTAGAACCACCCCTAGATCTTTTTCTGTATCAAAATTCAATAAAGATTTCTCACATAATGTAAAGGTTGTGTGGGGGTCTATGTTCTCCTATTCCACATTCCATAACATGGCATTTATTCACATTAAATTCCATTTGCTAAGTGGTGCTCCATATACTTATTTTGTCCAGGTCTTCTTGGAGGGCATTACAATCATCTAAGTTTCTTATCTTTCCTATTACCATGGCATCATCAGCAAAATGTTCATATAATTCTTTATTCCATCTGGTAGATCATTTATGTAGATAATGAACGTTACCGGTGCAAGAACTGAACCCTGTGGTACTCCACTTGTGACATTCCTCCAGTCGATACATTGCCTCTGATTACTGCCCTCATTTTTCTATCGGAAAATTTTTCATCCATGTTAAAAGCCTATCTGTCACCCCTCCTATATTTTCCAGTTTCCAGAACAACCTCTTTTGTAAAACTCTGTCGAAAGCCTTTTTTAGGTTCAGATAGATGCAGTGAACCCAACCATCTCTTTCCTGTAAAATCTCTGTGGCACGATCATAGAAACTGAGTAAATTCGTTACACAGGATCTTCCAGAGCAAAAACCATACTGTCTGTCTGATATTATATTGTTTTTCTCCAGGTGTTCTACCCATTTACTTTTAATTATTTTTTCCAATATTTTAACTATTACAC